CATCATCGCATTGGCGAAAAGGGTACAAAGGGTGATTGTTTAATATAGCAACACTTACCATTAGATAAATCCTTTGAATGTACGTCAGTTACAAAAATATTTTACTCAAAAAAAAATATGGCGATCTATTTGTTTATTTTTTTATTCTAAAAAGTAGTCGTTTTCACAGAGGCTGTCACTCTTTTACTATGTGCTTAATAAGCAGTTACGTACACATTTTAAATTACAAATAGTTAGATTTCATCCTTTAATGCTTTTCGTCTCGTAGATACGATTCATAGTTAGATTTCGTAGATACGGAATGTATATTCTTCGATTTTATACGTTATTCCATTGTTTATTCCAACAAGCTCAAGTACTCATACAATGTTATTAATATTTCCATAAAAATTAACATACTTATAATAATCAACATATTTATAAGTCATTCTTGCGATGTTTTCTTACAAAACCGTTAATAAGTTAATTCCAATGCTTCACCATTCAAAATCCTCTTCATAAATATTCAAAGAATGATTAAAACGTAAGAGAAACATTAGGAAAATCTGTCCAAAGTTGTTATATTAAAGAGACGATCCTAAAATATACCGGGAAAAGTTGGAATGTTCTTAAACGCGCTCAGTGTTAACTGTTATTGCGAAACTTCGCTGCAGGGCTTGAAGAAATATGCCCAACTGTTTTTGAAACACTTGAATAAAGGACACTATGAATGGTTTAACTTAAAGAGCCCTGTCATTTTTTACGTTTACACGTTTACCAAAAATCGGATAGTTATTTAATACATTTTTGAAGTGTTGTAACTAAACAAAGCAGTTTAAGATAAAGACAAGATAGTTCATAATTTATTATTATCGATATAGCTCTTTTAATTATATCCGGATTTTTTTTAAAAACACAAATTTGCCTTGTTGCTTAAAATTATCTTATCCAAATGCATTAGCGCTGCATGTGCGTCATAACGTGGCATTTGCACGTTACATTACAATACAATACAGTGGCTATGAACTGTAGACGACTAGAACACGTCTCAGTTTCCAATTCATATTCCTGTTCTGCAAACCATGGCGTTATTCGCATTCGCGACAAAGATGAGTTGCGACCTTCGCAGTGCCACGCATTGCCTGCCGTGCCAGTTCTTTGCATCTTGCTACATAAAAACTCGTGCAAAGAATATTGTGCCGAGGCGGCACAATGTTCTTGTGTATATACAGCTACTTGTGCATATTACAATATATTGTACACAGCTGTTCGCATTTTGTACATAAACTGCGCTGAAATGGCAAGAAAAGAAATGCGCTCTGCTAATAGACGAGTCCAACATAAATCATTACACAATGTTTTGTAGAATAATGGGCTTTTTCCTTGACCAGACGTCTAAACACAACTTGATGAATTAGGAAAATGGCGGCCCATTTATATCTCTAGGTATAGCGTAAAATAAAAATCCATCGCGTTTATATGAAAAGCTTAAGTATTCGTAAAGTCACATCTTGTTGTCAGTATGCTCTAATTTTAATTAAACTTTAATTTTAAAAAGTTCGCCATTCCAATATTAACAATGCATTATTCCACCTATGTACTATTGTGCATACGAGGTGAAATAAATAAGCTTGCGCAAGCAGAAAAACTTTCTCTTCCCTAGCATGAAAAGAGAAAGATGTAATTTTTTAAAACATTTATGTTTTTTTCGTTCTAGTAATTCCGAACCCTTTATTCACTTATTTCATCGTTATACTTTGTTTTGTACGATTTTAGATATTTATTTAATGAATAAAAAAGAGAGATACATTCCCAAACAGTTATTATTTTGCTGTTTTACAAGAAGAAAACTTTTGTAATTACAATAGATGAACAGAAACAGGAAACTTTTATTTTTCAATATTAACTTAGATTTTTTTATGATATCGTGTGATGAGATGAACACTGATGAATGACACGCCTGTCCATAAGAGTTGCAGTGCCACTCAGAGCTTTAAATCACAAAGGTCAGAGGGGCACTACGCCCGTCACCTTGAGACACAAGTTGACAAGTCCCATGTGCCTGTAATTTTACCAACACTCTTACCCTTCAAAACCGGAATGCAGTAATGCTCAAAATTCTTCGAAGACGTCGGAACTTCCCGCATCACGAAGTACAAGGGTTCAAATTTAAGGCTAATATAATCAGAATATACATATATGCTTATTTATTATTGTATTATATGCATTCAAGCGTTGTTGTTTTGTAGGCCAGGAGCTCATAACACACAGACACTAATAAACATCGCTATAACTTAAGTTTATTTTGGAATAATTGTTTGTATTAGAAGCTTAAAATTATCAAGGTCTCATGTCTCATGTAGGTACTGAGGCAGTGATCGTGTGATGTGTAAAATATGTAAATAGATGTACATACACATACGTGTCAGGCTCATGGATCTGTCGCATCATCAACACGCATCAGTGCTTTTATGCTACATGTACATACGCCAGCACATCAAGCTATACCTTGACGTATCTTGTTCCGTTGCACTGGAGGCGATTTTCGAACAAAAATGTGTCGTCTGGTGTGCCGTTGTCTGTACATGCTCGTCGGTGAAGGGTACCCCTGACCAGGTCTTCCTGACCTTTTTAATTTGGTCATGGTAAGTTCGCATTGGTCGGCCATTACCAATGGTGTGGAAGGAGGCAACAGAAAGGGAAAGGGAGGATATAGCCCCCGTCCAGATTCACCGGCGGAGAGTCGGTCATAAAAGGAGCGCTATGGCTCTTAAGCTGCTGACATAAGCGGATTATGGGTGGCAGAAGTCAAAGTAACATGGGTCCTTGAGCGGCAGTCTTAGGGGAGTCTGTCGCTCGTTACTGGTGGTCCCGAAATTTCGATGTACGTGTTCTCTCAAGGTAAGCGATGGGGCGGTAACATCTTTCCCCAAAATGAGATGGGGTTCGATGCCCAGTCGAACTGCTCAACGTCAGAGTTGTGAGAGAATGCGAAAGCGCCCCCGTTATGAACACCGTCAGGGTTTAGTCGGTAGGAATCCGACATAACCCTACGCCTCCCCTGGGCGGCAAGTATCCATGAGCATTTTTTGGCGTTAAATAAATGGTCGGCCATTACCAACTTGTTCGCTCACACTTGCCTTATAAATCTGTTTCGTCCATCTTCTTTTATTCTCTCAACATGTCCGAACCATTTAAGCATCGTTTGCTCTATCTTTGTCACTACATCTTATCTCACGCCGCAACGCTATTTGTTAGGTACCTACATCTTCCAAAGCGACTATTTCATATATTTTGCGACTAGAATCAATCATTATACCACTATAATCATGGTTTTTGAGCGCAATTGGATCCAAGTGACTTCACTTGGATCCAATTGCGCTTCGAGGGATTCGAGAATGGTGCCGTCTCGGAACAAGTTTTTTTACTAGGGTGGATAGTACAACAGCCTTAAACTTTAAAATACCAGGCCGACTAATTCACTTCTTTATACCTGACTACTCAAATACTAGCTACTCGTTTTCAGTGACACAGCAATAAGCCACGCGATTTATACATTTCGATCTGCGGACGTACAGATTATATTGAACGGATTGGAAGTAGCGCGTCAGATGTTATTTATTGGAGGCTGACGCAAAGCCTTCGTAATCTGTCGTTGGAACTGGGTCAAATATATCAAAGTATATAAACGTAATCTAACCGCACAGAGGGATATAAATTATTTGATTTGTGGGTTATGTGAACAAAATGGCGGTGATCGGCAATCTCAAAGTCATTTACCGTAAACAGTTTTCCATTGCAAATAAAAAATTTTGGTATTGTTATGGTAATTCAATGATCGAGGGTGACAAAACTGATATTTTTAAGGTTGTGGTTTAATTTTTTGATTATTTATTTATCCCGGAACTTCTCATAGAGACGTGCAGTGTCCCTAATGTTTTGATTAAAAAAAATGGATGAAAACAGCGATATACGAACAGAGAGAGACACCGTATGGGACGCTACTGTGCCAAAACCGCGTGTCTTTAGACGCGTGTTAGGTACATTGACAAAAAGCCATTAGCTTAAAAAGCTAACAAAAAAGAAAAAAAAAATTAAGATTTGTGGGATTTTGTTACATTTTTTAAATAGCATGTCTTTTTATTAAATAAATAAAGCTATGTATTGTACATAGCTATGCTTATCTTTCATTCCAGTGTTGCCTAATATGTGGATTTAGAAAGTAATCATCATTCGGTAAATCATATTCGACTGTCAGAGTTTATGATAGGTTGATTCATTGCTCGGCCATTCATAACAACTCAATCGCCAGTGCAGAAATTGGTATTGAGTTTACGTCTGAAAATCGTAATCGTTGTGGAGATCTGCGGTCACCCCTTAGGTCCATTAGAATATAGGAGAATTTTATCTGTTATTTTATTTAACTTAAGTGGGTAAAGAGTCTAAAGTGTGTTGGTTTATGTTGTTTATCTACAGTAGTACAGTAAAAAATATTTTAAAAAACAAAAAAAAAACAATTTTTTATGTTACATGTACTTCTTTGATTAATTAAAATAAAATTGAATTTAGGTTACAATTTCTTGAAAATATTTGCTTACCTTCTCCATTATTAAATTAAGTATTACAATTTATCATGTCTTATTTTTGTAAATGAAGATTGAATTGAAATGAACTAATAAATTTGGATATTATTACAGACACTTGTGATTACATCGTACATAAACTGACGAAATATTTTCATCTTAATATTTAAATACTTATAATGAATGCACCGTCTCGTTATGTTAACGATAAACGTAAAAAATTGCAGCAGGGCGTAATGCAGTAAAGCATAGTAACGAAAAGGAAAACAAGCCACTCCTCTTGAGTAGTGTTGGATGCCTGACCGCTATTAGCTGACGCTGGCCGTGCCTCTGCATTTTGAGCTGGGCCTGATACCTACCATAATGAACGGGCAAAATTTATGCTTCAATTCCCAAACAGCGCATGGCAACGCTTTCTCACAAATACTCCCTTAAACAGTGTGAGATTTAAATTGGTCATAACCCTCTCTCTTGCTAAGATATTTTTAAAACATATGCAGATTTGCTTGTCATATTGGCACCGTCTGGCAGTTTTACCATGACGACATCCGATGTTATGTTGTACTGCAATGAAATAAATTAATTGTATTCTTATATTTTCACAATGATACATAAATTATAAACAAGAAATACAAATAACTAAAAGAGAAGCCGTGTTAGCCTAATGGTCAAACCATTCAATCTCTCAAGCAGAGGGGCGTGTGCTTGAATCCGGGCACCTCTGAGATTCTTGAAAATTTAATTTGAAATTTACCATGACGTTTTCGGTGAAAGAAATCATCGTGAGGAAACTTGCACACATCTGCAAAGCAATTTAATAAGGTGTGTGAAGTTCCCGTATTAGGCCTCGTAGGGTCTATAGCCCAAACCCTCTCATTGTGAGAAGAGGGATAGTAGGACTATATAGACTAATTATTTATTTATATTTATTTATTTTATTTATAAAAATGTTAGTTTTGAAAAATAAACTTTTTATGTGAACATTAAATTCTTGTAGCTAAATCATGTATTATACAAATCTACTGTAGTCAAAATTTGTTATACAGGCTATATACAGATATTTACATCCAACGTAGTGTATTTTTCCGGTCCTAGCAATTGAATGTGATAATTATTGTTTTTCATATAATTGGTCAAATCCTTCACACTCAGTGTATCATCTACGGGCCATAATAAGAAAATGGCGTAAATCGATAGAATACTATCATTTGCTCTCGGTACATCTGAAACTCTTAACGGGTCGTATGTTTCTTTCTTGCAAGTGTACCAGACGTGTGGATTGAGACTATCATTTTGGTGATACCAGGGCGAGGTATCGTAAATCGCTTCGCCGTTAACTTCAAGCCATTCGCCCATCTGCAAAAGCCGTTCTCGGAATATAGGGGGTATAACGCCTTCTTTCGTCGGCCCGACGTTGATAAGTACATTTCCTGAAAGTTTACAATATGAGCCTGTGCACACGGCGTATTTTAGAGCCAATGCACATGGCGCATTGTATAAGCGCCTACGACGAGCGTTTCTTGAGCGTGCGCTTACTTTGAATCGATTCAAACGCGTTCAAACATCGCATTGCAAGCAAAAAGCTTATATCTGCCGTCCACTAACTAAAAGTGACAAATCTTGAAATATTCGTTTTAAATAGTAAAAGATAGAGTACACAATTCTATTTTAAAAACAGTTAATTATTATAAAACTAACGATGCATAGCTGAAATATCATTAAACAAGTTCAATATTCTACAACTGGGTTATGGTTTTTTTATGATATCTCAAAAAATATTTTGTTACCCGCGTTTTAGCTAGCGGATGGCAGATATACTTCACTGGAGTTTACACTTATAATTTCTGTAGGCGCTTCATTTCAAAAATCTAACTGAAATGAATAAACAAAATTAAAATTAAAACTATCTTTACGCGCAGATGACGTGCGTTTACAGCGCCTGTACGCGCGTCGTCGGCGCGTATGATATACACCGTGTGCACGGCTCTAACGATTTGGACCTATTAGGGAGTTACCCCACACTTAATAGTACAGAATCACATCAAGACGCTCAGAAAAAGCTTTATATTCGTTTCGTACGACACGACTCGACACAGGTCGGCAATGAACCTGGTTCGTGCGAATTTCCGATCGCGTCCGGCCAAGATCGGTAGCGTCAACGCCCGAAAGGCCACGCCGACGCACGAACGAGAGCGTTGGAGTCCGAAAGGTCACGGTAACACCCGAATGCCTGGTAGCCAATGGTAGGGTTTTAAAATAGCTTTTAAAATAACTGAAGTCGAAATTGGGTGCAGGCGGTGGGGGAGGAGAAGGACCCCCTGCAATGTTTCGAATTTAATTTTAGAGATATTAATTGCGACGTCGGCGTGCGAACGATCGCGTCTACGGAGAATAAGTTTAAGGGAGTCACTAAACTTATTAACGCGGAATCAATTGTAAAATAGATTAAAAAAATTATAATATGTGTAAGTTTCTTACCACCACAGCTCACAGTAGATGCAATCGTCCCCAGCAATTGACTGATGCTTATTGTATCTAAAGGCACCATATTACGTCTATAACCCCAAGATTGAACATCAAGAGATAAAGCGTTCTCAAATTTGTGATGCTGTAATGTTTCTGTTGGAAAAAAATATAATAATATATGCTTTCGTGTAAATTTAGAAATGAAACAATTTTTTCGGATCCAAATTGCGTATATTTGTTTTTTTTTTTTAGAAAAAACCAACGTTTCTGATTATTTATCCCTGGGTCAAGGCTGACTGAGATGATAAAATCATCAACCTGTTTCGTATTTATGGAAAAAAAGTTTCATTTCCAATGTGTAGCAATCGCAAATTTGTGAAAACCGAAATCGTTTAAACTTTCAAAGAATACATTAGGGTATAGTAAACTCGCCTAATTACGTATAATTAATCTAATTCGGTAACAAAATGTTGGGAAGTTAATACAGATTTAAATGAAAAGATTACACTTTCATTCTTTTAAAAGGAACATTAAGGTAGAAGGATAGGTTCCCTTTTTCTTTTGTAAAAGGCTGATTCAAATTGAGCCAGTGAGATGGTAACAATCGTAACAATCGACGAATTTGTCACGTGACGCGCAGTTTTGCTTGTTGAGCGGACATGCATTTTTTTGTTTTTAATAGAAAAGGTGTATGTATTGCGTTAAAACTGTGCCGAGTTAGTGGTAAAACAATAGATTATGTGGTTTATGTGAGAAAATCAGCTGGTGTTTCGTAGTTTTTGACTAGTGCTTATTTTGTTCACTCAAAAAGTTAACGATTTTTCAAGTTTTCATGATGAATGATAGGCAATCATTTTGCGAAAATAGGGCATTTTACAGGCAAATTACATTTACAATCCATTTGTGTGATCATCGTGGAATAAATCTGCACGCGTGTCTTACTCCACTCAGTTGCGCGATCGGATGCGACAAAAATAAACGTTATATAGTAGATGCAACTGAAATCGCGATCAGAGTATAAACATTGAAGATTTAATGCACACCCTAAACTCTATATAGAGCATCAAAAGAATTCAGTATTCCTTGGACAACTCTTAGGGTCGTATTCTAGAAGTCTACTCAATGCTCAAGTCAGGATTGCACTGGAAACACAAGCACTGGAAATACGACCCTAATGGCAGGGACTTGAGTATAGGACTTGAGTAGGGCTTGAGGACGGGGTTGTTCCCGAGATGCTGGAAGGAGGGAAGGCTCGTCCTGGTGCCCAAGCCGGGCCGACCTGCGGACTCCCCCTCGGGGTTCAGGCCCCTCGTCCTGCTGGACGAGGTGGCGAAGATCCTGGAGCGAATCATCGCCTCCAGGATCAACGAACACCTGAGGGGGACAGGCCCCGATGTGTCGGAGCGGCAGTTCGGGTTCAGGGCTGGACTCTCCACCCTGGACGCACTGGAGTCGCTGCGACACATCGTGGAGGAGGATAACGGCGAGGGGGAAGGCGTGGTGGAAAATGCGTTACGCATTCCCCGCCGCTGGGAGACGGCGGGGGTATGTGGGACTCTCTCCTGGGGACTATGTCGATCCCCAAGAGCATACCCACTAAAAACCTCACGATGTTCCTGCGCGCACCTGGCGCCGGAGCCGCGGGGTCCGGCGCGGGAGCCCTGGCGCAAGCTAGGGCGGGCGGGCGGCGTCATGGTGAATGTTCACCGATCCCACGGCGCCGACTCAACCGGCGAGAGGGAAACCCGGGGGGTTTTAGTGGGGTAGGCCCTCCAGTCTGGAGGGAGAGTCCCCACATAACCCCTAAGTCTCCCTGGGCTCAGGGGTATCCATAAAGATTTCCCCCCCGTCAAAAAAAAAAAAATAAAAAAAAATAAAGGGACTTGAGTATGATTTTCAGTGCTCACTGCAATACTCAAGTCCTGACTTGAGTATTGAGTAGAGTTCTGGAATACGACCCTCAGAGATAATGTTCATCGTGCCAAAAACGAAAAAAATAAGTCAAAAAAAAACTTGTATAAATTCGTGATAATGTAATTAGGTAAGTATATATTACGGACTTAAAGTGACTGTCACGTAATTGCCCAAGTTAACAGTGTTCTGATAATTAAGTACTAATTCTAGAAATATTTGTGATAGAAATTATATTTAATATCTTCAATGATATGGCTAAAAACAGATTAACAATCCTAAAAAAGTTTTAGTTTATTTTTCAATCATTCAGATGTTTTGCAAAATTATGTTTTACCACGAAATTAGATGAGGACACCCTACTAATACAAAGTCCGCCAAACTGCAGGGTAGTTTATTGGCCGTGACACTCTTATGTTTAGTTTCATATCTATGCCTACGTACTTATCATGTTTCGATATAACTAAATAAATTGCTTACTTATAAAAGATTTCTGACAGTAATTTCTCTTCTTAATAAAAAATATTCATCATGTTACAAGTGATATGAACTTGGACAAGACCAAAGTCATGATTAATGATGACCCGAGACCCATAGTCGTAAATGGCCACCTTCTAGAAGTTGTTTCCGAATACACTTACCTCGGGCAGATTCTGCAGTTAAGTAGAAACAATTTCGAGAAGGAAGCCAGGAGGAGGATTCAGCTTGGATGGGCAGCGTTTGGGAAGCTACGCCGAGTCTTCTCGTCACCTATACCACAAAGTCTGAAAACAAAGGTTTTCAACCAGTGCGTCCTGCCTGTTATGATTTACGGAGCCGAGACGCGGCCACTCACGATACGGCCACGAGTTCACCAATTTAAAGTCGTTCAGCGAGTGACAGAACGGGCTATGCTTGGAGTTTCTTAGAAGTATAAAATTCGTAATGAGGTTAACCGATAGAAAACTAAGGTCACCGACATAGCTCGTGTAATATGCAAGCAGAAGTGGCAGTGGGCTGGCCATATCTGTCGAAGAAACGATAACCGATGGGGAAACCGAGTTCTAGAGTAGAGACCGCGACTCGGCAAATGTAGTGTAGGACGCCCTCCGGCCAGGTGGAGTGACGACCTGCGAAAGATTACTGGCGGGAAATGGATGCGACAAGCTGAGGACCGAGCGAAATGGCGCACATTGGGTGAGGCCTATGTCCAGCAGTAGACTGCGATAGGTTGAATATGATAATACAAGTGTCTTGTTAACTCCCAGCATGATCAAATATTATTGAAATAATACACTAGGAATGTAATAGACGCATTACCAGCATGCCATAGGATTCCTACATCCCTCGTATTGTATCATTCTCACTAAATGACGTACTGACATTTTTCTCGTATGATTTTACTTAGTTTTCAAAAAAGAATCGTCGTAGGTACGTCTATTTATTTTCAAGTTTGACACAAACTACAACTTAAAGAGCTGAATCGAAAATACGTCACATGAAAAAATTGTCTTATCCGTAACAATAATAGTTATGACAATGAAGGTGCTCGCACACTTGCCCTCGTCGACAGAACCGAATGTATTGAATTTTAGAATTCATTGTACGAAATAAAACCTTGAACACTTTTCCGTGCCGAATAGAATGAATCGTACCTATATAACTTAATAATGTTCGTCAGTTTCATTTCAGATATTTCATAAGAAAACTATCTCCATAATGATCGCCTTGCCAGCACACCATCACTTGTCTAATCATATTTCAATTCCCTCGCCATCGCACACTCACATACTCCCACATAATTACTTGCACAACAATCACCCACCTTCATTACACACCCTCACACACTCACACACAAACACACACACATTTACACGCACACTTAAAAACTCATTTCAACAATTATGAATGTACAAGTACATAATTCTAAGTTATAAATTTGTATTTTCCATGGGGTGGAGTCCTGGTGATCTGAAATACAGACCTGAAATACGTCTACTTTAGGCACCAGTCGCCCACAATACGAGGGTCAAACTGAAAGTTCTTAGAACTGGCCACTTATAAACAATATAATAAAAAAATAATTCTTAAATTTGAAAATAGAACTCTTTGCCAATATTACTGAGTATATATTTCATTCATTTGTCATTTGTTTTTCGATTTGGCGGCAAATTGAAAATTGTCTGTGTCACGTCAACATGAATTTAACACGAGAAAATTTTCGTGGAATGATTTTTTACGACTTTCGATGTCATTTAAGTCAACAAGAAAGTTATGATAGACTACGATTGGCCTTTCACGATGAAGCCCCATCTCGTGCGACTGTTTACAACTGGTTTAATGAGTTTAAACGTGGTCGCACTAATCTCACTGATGATTTACGTGAGGGACGGCCTTCTACGGCGACGACTGAAGATAACATCTGTGTTGTGCGGCGTATGATAGAGACTGACAAAAGAGTGACCTATCAGCAGATTCGGACAAGCTTAGGCATCGGTATGAGTCAAGTGCACAAAATCCTCCACGAACATTTAGCGGTCAGGAAGCTTTGCGCCCGGTGGATACCTCATAATTTGACTGAGGCTCAAAAACTCCATCGTGTGGATTGGTGCCGTAAAATGATTGAAAGATTTAACGGAGGTGACTCAAATGCTGTGTTCGACATACTAACAGGTGACGAAAGCTGGATTTACTGTTATGATCCTGAAACCAAAAGACAATCTGCTCAGTGGGTGTTTCCTTTCGAGGAGTTGCCAACTAAAGTAAAGAGAGATCGAAGTGCGGGAAAAAAAATGGTGGCCTCGTTCTTTGGAAGGATAGGTCATTTCGCAACAATTGTGTTAGAGGATCAAAAAACAGTTTCTGCAGAATGGTACACTACCAATTGTTTGCCACTTGTCTTGGAAAAAGTTCGAGAGAAACGACCTCGCAGTAGGATCCTCCTTCACCACGACAACGCCTCGTCGCACACCGCCAAGCGAACGATCGACTATTTGGCGACATCAAACGTTGAATTATTGGGTCACCCGCCGTATAGCCCCGACCTCGCGCCTTGTGATTTTTATTTATTTTCAAAAATTAAAGAAAAACTTAAAGGAAAGCGGTTTATGAATGCTGAAGAAGCGGTGGCTGCGTATCGCGATGCCATTGAAGAGACCCCTAAGGACGAGTGGGCAAAGTGCTTTTCCCAGTGGTTCCATCGCATGCAGCGGTGTATTGACGTGAATGGACAATATTTTGAAAAGATATAATAAAACTAATAACTGGCTAATGTAATCAGTTTTTAATTTTCTAAGAACTTTCAGTTTGACCCTCGTATAATTCTTTCTTTTTTTTATGAATAGTGCTTGTTATTATGCTCAATTTACATATATTGTGGTGAGAAAATAACAAACTTATTATTATTATTATTATTATTATTAGTTGAAATAAGTCAAAATGTTAGTTATTAACTGCCTCTGTGGCCGAACGGTTACCATGCCGGACTGCCACGCAGAGGTCCCAGGTTCGATTCCCGGGCCGGGAGAAATGTTTGTATGGCCTACAATTATTTCTCTCGTGAGTTTGGGTGTAATTTGTGGTTGTCTATATGTGTGTCCATGGCACCCGCGACACAGGGTTTACCTAGTGCGGGGCTATGTTGAGTGTGCGCGTTATTTATTTATTTATTTATTTATTTTAATCTAGAAACCGAACGCGGTAATCGTTATAGGCTTATAGCGCGTGCAGAATGGCATATAAAGTACAAGCATACGGCAGAATTTACAAAGCTTCATCATCAGAATTTATAAAGCTTCATCATCAGCTCATTCGGTATAGAATCTTTAGTATTATAATGCTAATAATTCAAGTACTTACTAGGATTAAATCTATCATCACAGTTATAAAAATCTCCGTGGTGACAATAGGACCCTGAGCCCCATCTGTCGTTAACTACTATACGATGCCTGACAGGACTCTCGTTGTAGAGCCAAGCCAGGAAGTTTGTCGCTTTCCAGTAAGATGGATCTGCATCCCAATCTCCATCCGACCACCACAAACTAGGTTTATAGTCCAGGATTAACTGTTTGATATCCGGTTTTATTACGCGTTCAACGAATATCGAAGTGTTGTAATTATTATTTCTATCAATTTGGTACCATTTGTTCTCCCATTCCATGAGTGAATAATATATACCAAATTCCATATCATATGTTTTGACGGCTTTTCCGACCAAGTATACAATGTCTTCTTTTGGTCCTATATCTATTGAGTTCCAATTATGAGCTGTCGTTGATGGAAATAAGGCGAAGCCATCATGATGCTTTGCAGTAAAAACCACGTAGCTAAAACATATAAGTAATCCAATATTTAAATATCTGTTCCATAAAGCATGCAAACAGAGCATCGAGTATGTAACCAGAAATAGAGACGAAATGTTATTTATTTGTTTGAAAACCATTCTGCCAAATCATTACGGTGACAACTGCGCTCCAATTGGCCAGGCCAAATGCGAAACAATTGACGGGTGTCGTCAATTGTTTAATTTACTTATCTATATTCAATCCATTTACAATAACTTGATTTTTCTTTCACTATTAAAGAGGTTTTTAAGCAATTTTATAAATTCATACATACCAAAAAAAGTTTGCGATCAATAGCATAAGCTCCTATAATTCTTTAAATTTAACTTTATCAAGAAAAAATCTATGTTGTATGCTTTCTTTAAATAGGAATACCCTGTTTGAAATTAAAATATAAAACTATTTTTTATTATTTATTTTAAAAAATTGAGCCATTAATCATAATGTAATAGTGATAGAAATTTCATAGAAAGAAAAAGACTGTTTAATTAAACTTAAACAACAATTTATTATTAAAAGGTGTGAATTCAATATAAAATAACTCCTCCCCTGGCTCGAATACATGCGAAGATCCTCCTGGGCATGCTGAGCATCAAGTTATCCAGCATTTCCTGGGGTAAACTATCCCATTCTTCAATAGCGGCTTCCCTGAGCTCTGGAACTGTCTGGGGACGTGGCTCACGGTTCCATACTGCTCGTTTAAGAGCATCCCACGCGTGCTCTATTGGGTTTAAGTCGGGCGAGCCGGCAGGCCAGTCTAATCGTGTGATATCGTATTCTTGAAGAGCAGCATTGACTCGTTGAGCTCGATGTGCGGGCGCATTATCATCGACCAGTACAAATTGGTGCCCATGGTTTACTCGGAATGGTCTGACGATATCATCAATAGCAACTGCTTTGTACATGTCTGCTGTCATGAAGCCCCGATACGGGATCAAAGGCGTTCTAGCTCCAATCATAATGCCACCCCAAAAGGACACCGATTTTCCGCCTTGCTGAACTGTTCCAGTGGCAGTTCTTTGTCTTTCACGGTCGCCTGGTCTTCTCCAGACACGGACACGTCGGTTATCTGGATGAGTGCTGATTCGGGATTCGTCAACGAAGAGACAGTTTTGCCAAATGTTTTCGTCCTCACCTTCTTCATTTTGCCGAAGTCTAGCCCACTGCAATCTTCGTTGTTGACGATGCCAGGAATTGAGCGGAGCTCGCCAAGACCTCCGTGCTCGTAATCCAGCCTGGTGCAAGCAATTGCGAACGGTCTGCGTGCTAACTTCAAGCCCAGAGGCGGCCCTGACTTCTGCTTTTATTTTAGTGGCGTTGATTGTTGGATCACGGGCTGCCAGCAATCTAATATAGCGCTTTTGGGCAGCTGTCAAAACAGTTGGGCGACCGCTGCGGGGTCGGTCAGCTAAATTCCCCATTCCGTGATACCTCTGCAACGTAGCCACGACACAGGATTGGGATATAGCAAGTCTGCGTGCTATTACTCTCGTGGTGTATCCTTCTTCCCTCAAAGTTACTATTCTAGCTCGTAAAACCTCTGATAATCCTCTTGGCATTTTTTCAATCACAACTTTCCGCGAAAAATATCTTGAATCGCTTATAATTGACTAAATCAGATTTCTGAATGAGCGTAAGCTAGGACTGAAAGCCTTTTTATATGAAAAAACAATTGAACGGGGTCATTGTTTTATGTTCTAATTTATTTTTAAATAAAGAATCTAAAAAGAAGAAAAAATCATAATATAATCTACAGTAACAAAAAAGATTTCAATTTTTCGAAGTGATCGCAAACTTTTTTTGATGTGTGTACATCACGCCCTTTTTCCATTGGGGTAGGCAAAAACCAACAGACTTCCACTTGATACGGTCCTAACACACATCATTCGCCTCATCAACATGCATCAGTGCTGTCATATACGGTCGTCGGTTAAGGGTAGGTACTCCTGGACCTTTTTTAGAACGGCCTTTAAAGCGTACTGTACCTACTTTAAGATAACTTCATTACAAAGAGCTATTTTTCCACTATGCGACTAGCCGCGAGCGATCGTAGCCGTTGCAGCTAGTTTTATAGCGACTGCGCGCGCGACATTTCATGTACAAGTAGTCTCATTTACAAAATGAACGTCGAACATGTCATACTTGTCATTAAAAAGCTAACGAAAACACGGGTTTTTCATACAACAACACGTCACGTTCACAACAACACCATAGGTCACGCGCAGCTACTTGAACAATTCCATATCTTCTGCTTAAGTTTTGTTTACTGAACCCCTCCCTATCAACCTTTGGTTATACGGGCAGGGCACTACTACATGTGTGATTACACATGTAGTAGTGCAAAGCCTGCACATTATCAGTCAGGTCCTGACCCCAGATTAAACCGTTGACACAGGCTTCATCCGGTTCTCAAAAAGCTAGTGGCTTGGGTGAGCGCCCCCTGGCACACATACAGTACCCTCCCTATTGTATAGAAAGTCCAAAACTCCCAAGCGGCTGGAGGGACCGGAAGATATCTAGCTTATCCTCCACTAGTTCTCCGGATTAGTACCAAGATGTCAGTCGCAGTGAGCAGCGAAAACCGGACATAGCTTCCAACTTAAGAGTCTATATAACCTCAAATTATAGGTTTTGGTTGATACCGTATAACAGTCAAAGTGTTGAATCAATCACTTAAAAAAAAAAAAAAAATATATAGTAAAATTGAGGACACGGTATGAAAACACGATTCTTAAAAATTTTCACGATAGAAAAAAGACAAATCAACCTCGAAATTTTACAAGAAAACCGCTGTATTCAATAAGTACTTTACATATACCATTTTTTTTTTTATATCAACTGAAGTAAATAGAACACGTATATGCGACATACATTTTTGAAATGGCTTTATTTCCGTTTGTAAAAAAAATAATTCTGAAATAAATCCGGTGTCCTTACCGCTCGACCCAAGCAAAATGAACCGTGTTAATACGGGAAAAATTTGAATTCTAGCTGAGGTAGTATCGAGGATAACTCACGTGTCTCGCGCACGTTTTCGCTACTAAGACGCACTAAACGCTCTGGCCCCACATTACTAAGGCAGATAAATGAGGCCATCTCCTCAGTGACTGTCACTTGGCTGTGGTTTCGCTAGATAGTAGATAGGGATAGTCCGGCTAGCCGAATTGAGTCGCGCGCGGCTAGTCGAGTCGCGTGTTCTTTTGCAGACAGCTTCCAAGTCGCGGCCGCGTCAATTGGTATTATTAAATTCGTACTCTATTTGCCTATTTTATAAAAAAATTAAAAATTAAACAAACTGTGCTCCGGCTTTTGCAAATAGTTCTGCCCATTTGTCGGCATCAAAGTTTTCGCCTGTAAACATTGGCGCGAAGTCTTTGTATGTTCCAGTGTAGCTTATGTTCTTGAGAAAATTCAACACGTCTTTGTCTTCTGTAACACAGAAACAAAAATCTATTGACAAAAACTATTACGAGAAAACTTCAAGAGCGTTGAATTTCTAGTCTTGGCAGTATTTAACGAGTTCATAATAACACTAAGTAGGTACAGGTACTTAGTGTTACATATAACATTAAAGCAAGCTTCGTTTATTGGCAATGAATTAATATCAATTGCATATTTCTTCTGTCACTTATCTACTTAATTATATCAATAATTATAAGTGTCTAAACAGCCGTGGCTGTCTAATGGTTTGACCTACCGCCTTTCAAGGTTTTGAATTCGGGCTCCTGAGTTTTCAGAATTATGTACGATATTTAATATAAAAAATACTGTGAGCTTTTCGGTGAAGGAAAACGTTGGAAACCTGCACTCTTCTACAAAGCAATTTAAGATGTGTGTTAAGTTTCCAATCCACATTGGCACGGGAACTATAACCCACACAAGAGGTAGCTTGTGCCCAGCTGTGGGGCTACATAGGCTGACTATTTATATAAGTGTCTAATTTTGTTCATACATAAAATGTTGTATTTGTTTAACTCACCCTCTCGCCAATAGTACCAGAACCATTCACTTCTAAAGGCTGGTACAGAATACACGCCCCAGTGAACGAAAATGCCAATTTTAGCGACGTCGTACCACTTGGGTAGAGTTCGTGTATCCAAATCCTCCCATTCTGGCTTATAATAATGGTGATCTCGGGCGTGGACTCGAAGAAAGAGACATAAAATTAACATCCACATTATGAAACTGCCGAACAATTTAAGATTTTAATTTAATTTAAGAATTAACCAACCAGTAATTTAATTTATTGTAAATCAATTTATTCAATGAGAAGAAAAATATACGTTTATCTAAAGAAAAAAATACGAAACTTACCTATTGACGCTTCGAGATTGCAATGAATGATTCAATAGGCAATACGATCCCTGGCGATGTCAATCGCAATGACAAATGTATGAAATCCAATGAAATTTCTAAGCATGGTAATTTATAATATGCAATTGTCTTATTGCATAAATAAATAAGCAGTAATTTGCACTGAGTTATCGACCCTGTTTAAATAGCAATAATGACGTAAAAGAAAATAATTAATTATATTAGAAGTTGGCGGGAGAGAAAGGACGCAATCGACATAATTATGTACGCCGAGAGGTTTACAAGGTCAGAAATATTTTTTATGACGAATTTATTAGAATGATTTATTTCATATTATCAATGTGACAGTGTTTGTGGTTTAAAATAAAAGGTGAAAGGATGATATGATCAACAATAATTAATATGATAAAAATGTATACAATAACGATAAAAAATTCTTGCCAAATGTCAGATACATACATAATTGATAGGTGTGTGAAAAAGGTGAAAATATTTCACATCTATATGACAAACGGCAAAGGAGTGGAATTTTAATTATACTTACCTGTCTGCAGACTTATCCCCCGAATGCTGTGTGCCTTTTCCAGGCAAGAGTGAATATTGCATATACATACAAGCATTATATAGGTATACCTACATGCTAATATCGTCGACCTCATCATCACTTTCTATCAGGTGATAAGGAGGTCAAATACGCACTTTTTTTATTAAAAAAATGTCTTTGAAAGATATTCTTCTAGTAGAATTATTTATAGTGTCACTTTTTAAATTTGCGTCTAGATGCTTTTAACATCGGGGCCAATCACTCCCGGATTTATGGTTGCGAGTTTAGTAGAAGTGATTCATGGTTTTTTGCGTTTTGCAATTGATGCCTTCCATCGCCATATTGCTATAAATGCCTTCCACCGCCATGTTACAATTGACGCCGTCTGTCGCATACGTACTCACGTATATTTTTTAAAACGTGTGTACACAATGTTTAGCTTGCTTGTGTTGTTTCTTGAAAACGCTTCACCAATATTGATTTATAAAGAAAATTCTGTCAAAACTTCATGAATTAGGTACTTCATGAAAAACTCGCAGGCAGTCCGCAATGTTTTCTATGCAGCGGCCATAATGATCAAAAGCGTGACATAGAACGATGCATTCATAACACTTAAAATTCCGACACAAGTCTCTTGTTTTTGTAGGCGTTGAATTAATTTTCACGGAGATACATTACTATCATATCAAAGTTGCATGCTGGTCCAATGTTATTTTATATGACGATCAAGGCCCTTTGAAGTCTGTAATCTTCAGCACCCACGCATCTTGAGACATCGAGTGGGTTTTTGGTAGATGAATTTGAAGACCATGTTCAAAAAATGTGTACTGAAATGTAAATTAAAAAGGTAGTTACTAATTATTTTTAACCGACTTTAGAAAAAGAGGAGGTTCTCAATTCGACATATTTTTTTTTGCATGTATGTTACGCGATAACTCCGCCATTTGGTAACCGATTTTGATTTTTTGTTGGAAAAAGGGTACCTCAGAAGTGGTTCCATTTAAATTTGAAGAAAACACTCGACCTCTAAGGGAGGTAAACTAGGGGATGAATGACTTTTGAGGTCGGTTTTTTTAGTACTCTATACTGAGGTTAGGTTATTAAATTAATATTAAGTTTATTGAATATCAGGATGTTTTACAACCATGATATAATTTTCTTTTTGTGAAATTACTTCACTACTTTCTTATAATTATTAATATAAAGGATTCCAATCTCAAGGATCTTAAGAATTTTTTCGATGTGCTTGCTACAGGTCTTTATTTTCGGTTTTTGAAATGTTCTATGAAAATATTTACTACTATTTTTAAATATTACATGTTACTTTTTGATTAACGTTTAAATTCTACACATATTTAATTATACATATATATGTATACACACTTACATTTACAGGGATAAATTGTTCAATACTCAACAAAACAATATGAGACTTTCCATCTTCCTTCACATAATTCGCCAGGTCCTTGAGTAATAACAAGTCGCTATTGGGCCAAAATAAAAAAATGGCATACACGGCTAAAATCACGTCATTCCGGTTCGGTTGACTGGAGGGACTCAAAGGGTCGTAAATTTCCTTCTTGCAAGTGTACCAAACGTTATTATTATTCATACTGTCCGCCTGATGGAACCAGGGCGAAGTGTCATAAATTGCTTCACCGTGAATATCTAACCATGCACCCAACTCTAAAAGCAGCTGTTTAAATTTAGGCACTATAATTCCATCTTTCGTTGGACCCACGTTGATAAGCGCATTTCCTAGAAAAATTAATTCATATACATGATGTTCTTCTACGCACTTATTTGGAAGTATCTTTTCTATTTCTTTTTATCGTAGCGATGGCATATGCTATTGTGGGCCAGAACCATCAGAACTCAACCACGCCGACCGCGAACCTAATAGCCGCCTTTAAATCCTCAAGCGTGCAAGTTTTAGGGCACGCTGGGCACGACGTGAAGTGGGAAATATTTAGAATTGAGCCGCACAAAATCTAGGAGGTCTACTCCCATTCTCCTTCCAACATCCGCTCGAAACAATTACTGTCAAATAAGTAATACTCGACAAAATTAAAGTACAATGTCAAGTATGAGGCTTCATTAGCGTCATCCTTGTTTTAACTTGATCGAGTATTACTTATTTGACAATAATTGTTTCGGACAGATGTTGAACGGAGCACGAGAGTACAGGGCCAGGTTAGAACCATCCGAAAATCTCTAAATGAACAAATTGTCCTTACTCCGGCCAACTCTCGGCCTACTCTTGAAGCACGAAATCCGTGGTTACAGCCGTTTTCCCACTATGGATGACCAACAGATTTGAATTTCGATCGGGGCTAGAACCATTTTTCCGGAAAAATTTCTGAAGAATAGAAAAAAATTGAAAAATATAATTGGAAAGCTTATATTATGTTCTTCGTTTAGAAATATCTTTTGAAGTTTTATTTAGGGTGAATAATAAAAAATAAAATAAAATTGTACAGCTCATAACAAATTAGAAAAAAACGAGATTTAAACAAGACAAGAAACCTTTGTAATGGCTCCATCGTTTTCATTTAGTAACTCCAACTTTTGACAGTTGTCAATGTCAAATGTGGAAAAATATAGGAAAAATAATAGGAAAAATACTAATTTCCTGAAAATATGATTTTTTCAAAATGGAATTTTTTTCATTACCTAACACTAGCTAGAACTAAGAATATAATATGACAACGCGATTTGACGGTTTGATAGTTTCGATCGTGCCCGTCTTTCGTAGGTGGATTTTGAGAGTATTCGCGTAGGTCATCTATCGTGGGAAAACGACCGTATCTACGGATTTCGTGCTTCTAGAGTAGGGCCCCTGAGTCGAAGCCTATTTAAAGACTTCCAGATCAGTCATGTCACTTCGTATCCAGGTGGAAGGATCTCAAAAGAAGAAAATATCATAACAACAATATTTATAAATTTTCAATCTCACCACCGCAGCTCACAGTAGAGATAACCTTTTCCAATATCTGATCGATTCGCATAACTTCTGATGGTAGCATATTTTCCCTAAAACTCCAGGATCGCATGTCGATGGTGAAAGCGTTTTCCCATTTATGATTTAACAATATCTCTGAAACAGTGACGAACAACAACGTGTGAAAGAGATAGTTAGAACTCTTGAAAAGAACACATGAAAAATAATTGAAACTGTTTAATATATCACATAAATTACATATTTTGTTACTTAAGTGCATATCCATAAATTTTTCTTTTAGCTTTTTAAGAGGAGAGAAAACGTATGAGTTTTCCAAGATGATATATTCGACAAAATAAAAAAACAAAGAATGTGACAATAACAAATTCGGAGTTCAAAAAAAGGTTCTTAAAAAGAATGCTAGTGTTCCTATTATAACTAATAAATTTTGGCCGACGACTTGTTTTGTCTTACTAGGCAAACGCAGGCATAGTTTACAAAAACGTTATGGTAATGCCGTACACATTGGCTAATCATCATCACCTTATAATATTATATTATTTAGATAACTTGATATTATAGAATATTAAGCATTAATATTAGATATAACTGCTTAAAACAACTTGACTATCGCATTCAGCGGTGATCATGGCACCAGAAAAGGGTTCGTGTTGGTTTTATTGAACAAATTGAAAAAAGAAATATACGCGGTTTAGATTCGAAAAAATAGTTTCATTTTCAATACTTTTTATATAGTTTACAGAGTAATTACTTTGTCAAGCATTCCTTAGCACGCAGTTTTAAATTATATTAAAATATTTACGGCATTAATCATGAAAATACACTTACTAGGATTAAATCTGTCTTTACAGTTAAAAAAGTCTCCATGGGTACAACCCGTAGCTGGGCCCCATCTATCGTTGACCACTATTTCGTTCTTAACAGGGCTCTCATTGTAGAGCCAGGCTAACAGATTTGTTGATTTCCAGTAAGTATCAGTTGCTTCCCATTCTCCATCGGCCCATAGCACAGATGGCCGGTAGTCATTGACTAGTTGTTTTATATCTGGCCAAACTATGTTGTCAGTGTAAAGAGAAGTGGAATATTCCCTTTTTTTATCTGCCTCGTACATGTCGTTAAACCATTCTATCAGTGAGTAATAAATTCCAAATTTCATATTATATTTTCTGACGGAATCTGAAAGCAAACGCACAATGTCTTTCTTTGGGCCTACATCCACCGAATTCCAATTGGGTACTCTAGAGGGAAATAACGCAAAGCCGTCGTGATGCTTAGCAGTCAGAACAACATACCTGAAAGTACAATTTCAGAATTAATATATAATCTAATAAAAGTATACTAAAACCTTCTACAACATGATTTAGCGGATATGAATTACTTGAATTATTTAGTTTACGCTCTATCAGGGAAGTTGAAGCCAGTTCCAGTTCCAAAACAATTTTATTTTGTAAGCGGAAATTATGCTTGTTTTGACCTTTATTTTATTATTTTGTTAAAAGCTTTTGTTTCTAACAAAAATATGATCTAATTCTTAACGTTAGTTATTGACAAGAACAAGCAACATGTGGGTGGTCGCTATTGAACGAAATTAGGGTGGTAAGGCGTCGACTTTCCTGATACTAAAATAACAATGACGACGAGTTATATTTTTAACTTAACTTAATCGATTTTCAAAACCATAATTAAATTATGATTTAAGAGTTGTTACACACGGTGACTTTTAGTTTGCGATACAAACGTGCGATTGCATCGATGCAATCACTTATAAATCACAAGTGTAGCCATGCAGTCGCGCGTTTGTATCGCTTCTTAACGTCGCGTGTGTGTGTAAAGGTAGACGATTAGCAGAAGCGAGACGTGAAAATTGTCTTTAATACCTTAACAAACTTATTAGCACACACGATACTAGTATAGTTTATTTCACTGGTTACTTATTGTACACGTAAAATTAAGCAGAAAATGTAGTAAATTACTTTAAAATATTTATGATATTTGATGACGCGTTGAAAATTTTAGGCAAGTCAGTGGGAATCGAGTTATATGGACACCTCGCCACTTACGATTAGCAACTGCATCGCGTATGCATCGCTGCTAAAAGTCGCCTTGTGTAACCACTCTTAGAAGATCTGTACTTCGCACCGTTGGTGTAATAAGGCTACATTCGCAAAATGACCCCTTTTCAGGAGAAATGTGTAGAGATTCACGAATAAAATTAGTTGATAACTTTTTATGCTATAATAAGAGAGTCATAAAATGTCATATAATTTGTTTCATATACTTCATATTATTTTTATGACTTTCGTGTGCTTAAAGCACTTTTGACTTCAGATCACATGTGTCTTTATTATACCATTGGTACCAAGAGTATGCTTTACATACGTAACATTTGTTAAGATTTTCAATGAAAAAATATGAATTAAACAAACTGTGCTCCAGATTTCGCAAAAAGTTCTGCCCATTTGTCAGGTTCAAACGATTCAGCTTTAAAATTTGATGCGAAGTCCTCGTAAGTACCAGTATAGCTTATGTTTTGTAAATATTCTAATACATCAGGTTCACCTAAAATACAAAAGTGCTAAATGTAATACTTTAGATACTCTCTTTAACTCTATGTAGTCCATAATAGATCGCCACAGGCATGGATTATTCAATTCAAGACCAGCACTACCTTAAAACGAACCACTGTCAATTGCACTTAAAAGTTTGCGGCATACAAAATATCATACGTAAGAATATTCTTGGTAATGGTCTATCGAGGCCACGTGGCTTGAAGGAATAAGCGTTCATTTTATGCATAGTTTATGAAGGCAAGTATGGTAACTCCATACAAACATAGCAGCGCGGCTTATATGTGTGCGGGCCTGTCGCGCGCCGTGAACGGACGACGCACACATTAGCATTATCTCTCAATGTACTTGCGTTGCATGACACTGATCGACTCACGCCCTTTTCATTACTACGCGAGTGTGTGTCCGTAAACGGGGTATCGAGTATATGTTGTTACGTTAGACGTTTGTACGTTTGTATGGGGTTACCATACTTGTCTTATTTTACTATATTTCATGCATTTTGGCCATCGATTGGTAGTTCCTGCCTGGCCGAGGCCGTGGTTGTAATTCATTTGTCACACATTTCACGCCCTCAATAATAATGTGTGGCGATGTGAAAGCATTTATGTAAAATTTACAAAATGGGTAAAGGGAAGTACCTATATGTATATAGATTGAGTTAATATATCTTTTGACATGTCAAATAGGCTGACGGCTAAAAAGCCGCTTAAACCGAATACAAAAATTTGCAACAGGCACATAGAGAAATTCGGATTTACTAACTCGGTCTGTACGTAGCTCAGTTAGTAAGAGCGGTGACCCCGGTGTGGCGACAGACTGCTGCAGCTGGTTGGAGTCCAGTCATTTCGAAAAAAATCTTTGTGCTGTTAGATATTTGTGTTAATAATAATATCAAATAGAATATAGTCATATCTGGTAGGGGAGTGGGATATTTGGATGGTACAAATGGGATATGTGGCAGGGGCCATGTAAAATAATTCATTTTTATATTTATTTTGAAAGTTTCCCAAATATTTTACTTTTTGATTTAGTGTGTGCGTTAGTTATGCGCAATTCATAGTGAAGATAAGCTAAACTTGATTAACCAATTCGGTTGTATGAAATAGACTAAACTTTAGTCCAACTAACTTTTAGACTAAAAACGGTCAAGATATCGTGTTCTTAGGTTTTCACGATTGTTACACATTGGAAATAAAACTATTGTGAGTCTAAATTACGTATATTTGTTTTTCGAAACTAACTAACGATTCGGGCCCTTCATAGATCTCATGGTCATTTCGAACTGAAATTATAAAGTCATCAATCAGTTATGTCACTAATATTAAGTAAGTGAAAAATTTGATGAGAAGCTCAATCTTAGACATAACTGGTTGATTACTTTACCATTTCAGTCAACCGTGACCAAGGGACTTGTAAAGGGCCGGAAATGTTGGTTTGTTTAAAGAAAAAAAACAAACATGCGTTTTAGATTCGAAACAACAACTTCTTTACCGCCTTTAAGGTTTCAAGGGAATCACCGCTCCTTTAGTAGATACTTGACTTTATGATTGTATGCACCTTTGAATATTTGGATGTCATTGTCTGAAATAATTCTTCTGTTCTATAGTTTATGAAAGTCTAAATGTTGATTTACCAAATCGCCAGAAATACCAGAACCATTCACTTCTAAAGGCTGGTACAGAGTACACTCCCCAATGGAGGAAAATGCCAATTTTTCCCACATCGTACCATTGGGGAAGGGGACGCGTGTCCAAATCCGTCCATTCGGGCATATACAGTGCCTTAGTATCGTCTTGGCAATTGACTTGGTGTACCCAATATAAAATTATCACCCACATGATGGCAACTGGAATGATGAAATTTATACAATGATATTATGATAATAGAACGCCTTCCGGCCAAATGGATGACTATAATTATGCATTGTCATTGATGATTAATTTGGGACAAGCCGATGACCGTGCAAAATAGTTCACATCGAGATTGCAACAGGCTGATTTTTTAATGATATCAAGCGACAGACGTCGTCCGCCTAGTGGTGAGCGACAGACGTCATCCGCCTAGTGGTGAGCGACAGACGTCGTCCGCCTAGTGGTGAGCGACAAGCCTTTTTTGACAATTGCAGTGTCACTCAGTGCTATAAATCGCAAAGATCTGACACATAACTTGATAAGTCCCATATGCCTATAATTTCACCATCACCCTTACCCTTCAAAACCGAAACACTGTATTACTTACATTACTGTTTCGCGGAAGAAATAAGTTAAATAGCAATACATCTTTCACAAGGGGCTCTACTGCCACTGAACGCTACTAGTTGCTCATTGACAAACGTTTCGCTACCGCTTAAGGCTGTAGTTAAAATTAAAAATGTTATTTTTCATCAATTGCGTTCGTAACATAATCCTATTCTAGGTATTTAAACCAGCAAACACTAATAGAGTTATTCTTATAGTCATTTATGATAATGGAAAATGTCCTTAATGTAGCAAAGGCATTGTCGGCATTGAGACATAAAGATCTTCTATCTCCTATACCGGTGTCCCGCCATTCAATCCGGAACACATTGAGCATAACAGTATTGCGGTAGAATAGCTTTAAATAGGAAGGCGCAAGTTAGGTGTGAGTTTGCAGGAAGCGACCGCCATGAAAGCAATTGATATTATTGTGAGTATTGAGGTAAAAAGACAAACAAAAGTAGCAAAAGCAATAATTAAATTGTTAAAAGATTGTTACTAGTTACCGGTTTCTTACAACGTGATTGTAATCTATTGTTAGAAGTTTGTTACCACCATAATCATCTTGACTCAATAGTAATGGTCTAATACCTTGTCTAGTTAATGCAAATGTACTTTAATAAAAAATACAGGTTCACATTTTTTGTTTCTCGACATTAAAGGTGCTTATTTTCCCATACATATGAATAATTTATACTACTAGCTGCCGTGTGATTCCATTGAGCAGTTTATTACCATGGATCAATCTACTAACATTAATAAATTTGTTGATATTTTGAACTAGCTTTCCAATCAGTTAATAAGAAAGTAGGTAACGCACATTCAGGCAACACATTGATATTGAAAAGCCAGCTTAAGTTTCGATGATCAATGAGATTGCCATAATAAAACCGTTTCAAGCGGATGAGTAAAATCAACCCAAAAAAATAATACAAGGTCGATGACCTCTGGCAAATTTTGTAATCCCAAGAGTGACTAACTACTATGGAGATAGGACCATAAAGAAACATATACCATGCTTATTAAACAGCTTACCAGAGGTTATTAGACATGAAACTAAAAAATGTAAATTTTAAAAAATGTTGCTAGATCACTATTTTACAATTTCTTGTTCAATCATTAGTAATTATATTATTTAAGTAACAAAAACATAAAGGATAAACTATAACAATACCTCCTTAATCAAGTATGATATGATTTTTCAAATATACTTAACTATAATTTTGTTATTATATACTACTTATATTATTACGTAGACTAAGTATCCTAATCCTAACTTATTTACGCTAACTAAATTATAAAAAGACTAATTTTTTATTTTGAAAATTAAACACACCGTATAAAATTTACGACAGAAAGAATGGTTTCATCACACGCCATTCGAGTGAGAAGGAACGAAATATCTTCTTACCTACCCTACCCTATTTTAGTGAAAAAAAATAAAAAGAAAGTATTTTTAACAACATTGAGTGTCAGTTTGTAACTTTTTGCTCAATTGAGACTCGTTTCGATTCTGCAGTGAAACTGTGTATATAGTTTTGTAGGACTATGTTTAGTTAAGTATATTGTAGCCTTTTTTAAATTCTAGAAATAATAAAAAAATATATAAATCGTTAACTAAATAACTAAATAAACCCTTAAATATTAAAAGAAGTCACCCAAACTACGAGAAAAATAAAAGTATATCCTATACAGCCGAACACCATGTTGATCTGTCACGCTGGTCCCGGGTTCGATTCCCGGAGAAATATTTGTTTGGCCTACATTTATTTCTGTCGTGAGTTTGGTTGTAGTTTGTGGTTGTCTATGTACGTGTCCATGGCACCCGCGACCTAGACTTTCCCCAGGCTATGAGTATTATTTATATTATTTAATACGGAAACATTGTAAAAGATTGTAATGACTTACCTAATAGGTTGTTAAGTATGCACCCAACCAAAAACGTAACTTCACCCTTACAGGCAGCGTTGATAAATTATGTATAGAATACTAAACTCCAATGTAACATCCGTAATACAATAGACAATTGCTTTTTACTGTAGATGTAGATGATAAATCACAAATAAAATTAAAAATAACACAGTGTTGTTGTTTATAATGCAGTTACAATAGCCATAACTGTTAAAGAACGTATCGTTAGGTCAAACGGTTCCGTAGCTGTTTTTTAAAAGGTAGTTTGTTTGCTGTTTTCTCATAGAAAATGTCCTTTCACCATAGATACAAATAACGAACAGAATTTTTGACAAATGACATGACAAAAAGTTAAAGTAAGTAAATAGTGAATAAAACTTTATTTTTTAACTTAAATTAATTAATCCTATCGAGTTCTTAGGTTTTCGCGATTGTTACACATAGGAAATGAAACTATTTTTCCGGATTTAAATCGCGTATATTTGTTTTTTCAAACAAACCGACGTTTCGGGACCTGTAAATGGCCATACGTATATATAACAAATATACGCGATTTAAATCCGGAAAAATAGTTTCATTTCCTATTAATTAATCCTAATTTATTTTAGTTTTTATTATTTTTTAGTGCATAATTTAGAGTTTAACTAAGGTGCATAATCAAAATTATGCACTTAAAAAGAAAAAAACAAACAGAAGTAGACACTGAAAATATTTTAATTCTGCCAAATTAGTGGCCAAATCAAACACGCGTAACTGTCGTGCCAACCAAAGTAGCGCGATTTACGAATTATTAATTAAAAAAGAAAAAAATAATTTTACGAATCATTCTCATGTATTTGGTTTAGTGCAGATACGCGGCTTTTACCAATGCTACATACGCGGATTTGCTCTATCCCCGATTATAGATTGGTTAACCTTTTTTCCAAACTCAATTTCACTCAATTATTTAACAAAAATAAAATAGACATTTGTGAGAAAGTTTACCTTTCTAAGTTTTACTCTTCGTTAATTTACAAGACAAAGATTCTATTACTTATGTAAGTATAAAGAATCTCAGTTTATTTTAATATAACATAATTAATCATGTGAAGGCTTAATACGAAAACAAGGTATCTCTAATGTTGCCCAAACATAAAATGTATATAATAGAAGCATGTGTAGATAATAAACAATTCGCATTGAAAACAATAACGACTTATTATACTCTATTCAGTTTAGGAGTCATAACATTCGAATGGTTTGAGCATGGTTTTAAATGTGGGACCGTAATATATTCGTGAAACTATACATGATTAATTCAATTTTTGCTCCGTAATTTTCTTTTTACCCCATCATACTTATCGTGCTGCATTTTTGTTAAAGAAAAAAGGAAGTACGAAATCGAGTCAAGAAACAATAAAAGATAAGCAACGTAACGCGATGATCGATACGCGCAGATAGGCCGACAAGACTGGTCCGTGTAGCCTATTCGCATTTGGGTTGTTAATCACCATTAATCTGATACAGTAACTGATAGGCTCTTTCGGAGATCTGCAGCGCGTGTGCAGGTACAGTTACAGGTGGTCGCTATGCCCAAGGGGCTCTACGGCTTAAACATATCGGTAACCATATTTAAAAGATTCTCTCGAGAAATCGATTCCTAATTGTATGAGTCTGTGACCGTTTACTATGTTTTTCGGGACTTTCTGTGACCGTTTACTATATTAACTAATATAGAGTTTAATACAAATAATAAGTAAGTATGATAAATAATCACAATGACTACATGTGGTTGTTGTTGTAGTGGAGTGACATTAACAGTGTCCATGTTCAAAATCATCAATATCATGTGTAATTATTTGATTTTCGATCATATTACCAATGTTAACACCTCTATCAAAATGAAAAAATTCAACTTTTTTTAAGTGTAGTTGAAATGTCTCGGTAAAACTCCGCGATTAATTGGTTACAACACTATTATTTAAAAAAACAGTAGATCTAGGACGTCTATCTGTTTTTAAGACGTTTCGGACTGACTCAAAATTGTATTTTATTTTGGGCTTCGTGCGAAAGTAATACTTGAAATATATTCTGTCATATTATATGATGCTACACTAAAATTAATGTTTTTTTTTTGAAACCCAAAAACTTAATATATAAAGTTAATATAAATAATTTGTTTCTTTGCTGTTTCGTTGATTGCATTCAAAGTTACATACTGTCGTCTTCCTTAGTTGTCAAATTGGGCTTTTTACTTTGTGACGACTATAATTATGTCTATGTCGATGTCGTGAAAATGTAGAAAAATAATGAAATATTTTACAAACTGCCTTATGAATTTGTTATGAGGAATTATTACTGGAAAAAGACAAAGACAGAAATCACGGGACAGTAGAGTTCAGCGCAATCCCAAGTGCGATAGAATTCGTACAGGCTTTTGAAATCGGGCTCGAGAACATACTAATCTGTCAAGTGAGAAGAAAATAGCTTATAACGGGAAAAATCAAGTATATTATAGTAAATATTTTCAGCAATAAAGGATGGTATTGACAATATACATTGTTCTACTTATTGTAAAAAAAAATATTATAATTTTAGGTACATATATTAGTCAGTCAAAGAAGACTCTGGTCAAACTTTAGTATACTAAACGTGTTTTTATTCGATGTATCGGCATACGAAATCTTGCTGATGAGTTGGATGTCACTATTTAGAGAACAGATGGCTTTCGTAGAAAAATTTAATGTATGCATGCTCTTTTAAAGTCTTAAATTTCTATCCACAGCAAATAATTTGTCAGTTACACATTAGCTTAGTCGGTGAAATATTACTTTATTGCATTGTAATTGTATTTTTTATATGTGCAATGAGTGAAATACGCATTCAAAAGCTTAAAAACTAAGCAAGCAGTGTATGCACAGCGGCTATTACGTGAACATGTGAGTCCGCCTGTAATTAATTATAATATTCTCTACTATGATTTAATGTTGCTTAAGTGGTACGTACAATCAATAAAGTCCAAATAACACTAACATTTCTTTACTCAGATAATGCTCTAATTCGTTATCTTCAACACCCATGCAGTTTCGTTTGTAATATCGCCTTCAGGCAGACGTATTGCAACCGCATCCGATGTAATCATAAACTGCAATTGAAGTTAATGTATCAATTAATGAGGGAGGACGATAGACGCGCACTGGAGAACTATTTCAAATGAGAATGCTGTTATTAGTCACGGATCGCATTTAAGAAGAATCTACCATGCTGGCCTATTGTAGTTGGTGGGTATTCACACAATATTATTACTGTATATTTTGCAACTAAAGTTGTAAGGAGATATGGACACATTCACGCGCAAAATGACATCGCCCAGACGGTGTGTTGCAGACACCAGCCTGTTCAAGCGATGCCATACAGGCGCTGCTAGTGCGTTGCAACGCTACGATCTCAGCGCACCGAATGCGATACGAGCAATGCGATGTAGTAATGTAACGCCGCTTACTACGCATCGCAGCATCCCTCCCCGATGCACACACGTTCTGACTCGGCGCGCCATTTCAATGTTTAGTTTAGGCATCGCAATTACACATTACGTTCTAATATTAAAATGTATAGCTTTACTATGAACATTGCATAATTTAGGTTCCCTTCTTAGCGCTTATTTGAATACTTTAATAGATTTATTTACATTTGTTCTACTTGTATTGTATTAGATTGAGTTATATTGAAATAAATTTATCTATATGTGGCGCTACGCCATGTGGCATGGAGTTCTATATATTTATATATCGTACAAACAGCATCACCGCTCAGGCGTCACAATGCCATTACATCATTTCATACCACAGACCCATTCAACGACGTCTGTTGGTGTCCTGTGCGAGCCCTGTGTAATATTAGGTAGGTGTTTGAGAAGACCAGGAAAAGAATGATCGGTCACCTAAAACAGGTTTGGAGCCAATGACGACATCTCTAGTTCATTAAACGCTGAGCGTAAGTGGCTTATGTAAGAAAAAGGTTAATAAGGTTCGATGTCCTGAAAAATTGGCTATTCCTTTTAGGCATAAAGTTATTTAAATTAAAATGACATTTGACTTCATTTCAGTTAGTACTTGTGCGTGTCTCTTCACAAATACTTTTCAAAAGTTTTCCACGCATTTTTTTTTATTCCCAAAGTCTTCATAAGTGACTTTGACCATCCTATCCCTAGACTCTTGTTTACTTACTGTGACAGGAGTACTGTTTACGGTGTCCAACAACTTTACGTGGCAGGTGCTGTTTTCCATGTAATACTTCAAGTCTTCGACGATTAATAAGCTGTTTACTGGCCATTTCAAAAAAATTGCATAAACAGCTAAAATTTTATCGTTTTTATTTGGTACATGTGAGGTTCTCCAAGGATCATATGTTTGTTTCTTGCAAGTGTACCAGACATCCGAATTCAGGCTGTCGTTTTGGTGAAACCACGGTGAAGTGTCATAAATTGCTTCGCCATTAATTTTGAGCCATTCACCCAGACTTAGTAGTCGTTCTCGAAATACACGTGGTATAGTTCCCTCTTTCGATGGTCCTACATTAATAAGGGCATTTCCTAGAATAAATACTTACATATTAGGATTCGTCAATTGAAACTATTTTTAACCGACTTCAAAAAAATGTGGTTCACAATTCGACTGTAATTTTTTTGTGTGTATGTTGCGCGATTACTCCGACATTTGTGAATTAATTTCGATGACTTTTTTTTGTTGTAAAGGGGGTAGTGGTCACATTTAAATTTGAAGAAAATATTCCACATCTAAAGATGGCACATTAGGGGATGAATCCGGTTTATTGAATTTCACCCACTTTCTGTTAACCGATTGAGATAAATCTCGGCAAAAAGACAGAAGATTCCACATACTTTTGACGTGGGTTTTTTAATGAAAAGTTATAATTACTTATTATTTCCAGCGGTTCGGGCCTTTTCTATGGTCACGGCTGACTCAGTCAGCCAAAAACAAATATGCGTGATTTAGATTCGAAAAAAATAGTTTCACTTTCTATGTGTAACAATTGCAAAACTCTAAGACCTCGATATTTACCAGTATGGACTGGACGTTGCAAATAAAATTCGACTGTTCGAAGACCTTAAAAACAAAAGTACGCGCGCCCTAAAGTACGCTCGGGACCATGTGACCTATAAAGGGTCAAACACGTTGGTGTATTTGAAAAAAGAAATATACGTGATTTAGATCCGAAAAATATAGTTTTGTTGTATTTTTTTTAAGATTAAGAATTTCACGACATTTGACCACCACTACTTTGTTATAATTATCAATATAAAGATGAATACGAAAAAAGAAGAGGAACGAACACTTAGAAAAAAATTATTCGATCCGGCTGGATTTGAACCAACCTTCTTCTTTTCAACCAACTTCCAGCAAACCGTGTCAGATGTTATGTCAAATAAGCCACGGAACAAACTAGCGGATCTTACGAATTTTCTATGTGTTTGTTATAGATATTTGTTTCTGGTTTTTAACGACTTTTTTGCCAATGGTTTTATTTCTTTACACTTTTATTTTTAATCAATCCGAAACCTACCAATAAAAAACTAAGATCTTATTCAGATGAATAGTAATGAAAAAATGCGTTGCTAAAAGTCGTACAACAGCTTGTGACTTTAGAAATGCCGTTTTCAGGATACCGTTACGGATTATTGAAGTTAACCCGTAGTAGTTAAACGTAATACATAGTTTAACGCGTCTGAATACAGGTAATGTGTTCTTTTATAATGAACAATTTCAGGATATCGTCGGGGATAGTGCAATAATGCGCAACTAGCATTTTGACTACGAGTCTCCATTTTGGTAATTTAGTCGTCAAATCAAATTCGCGTAAATGTCGTGGCAACCAAATTAGCGTGATTTACGGGAATCTATTATTATATCAGTCCATATACAACATATATTAATGCTTACTGTGCAAAGATGAAAGTCGTAGCCATTGAAATAACAAAGTAATAATGTTAAATCCCTCTCCTGTAAAACTCGGTTTGGTGCAGATACGCGCTTTTTACATTGGTAAATGTAGTCAATACTACAATATTGCAGAATTTGCACTATTCCTGACGTTATGTAAATTTATATGTTACAAACTGCACCCTTGGTGTAATAAGGCCACATCTGGAAAATGACAACTTTTCAGATAAGAGGTTTAAAAATACTACTAAGTCGATAAAATTTTATGCTTAAATAGGACAGTTATAAAACTTCACATATACGTAATTTGTTTTATGTAATTCGTATTATTTTTACGACTTTTCTGTGATGAAATCACTTTTGGCGTATGATTGCATGTGGCTTGTTTATAACAAAATACCTCAACTACATTTACCTCCACAGCTTATTGTAACGACAACCGTTCGTAGCAATTCTTCAAAGCTCATAATTTCTTCAGGCGCTATGTTTTTTCTAAAACCCCAAGACAGTATATCTGTGTTAAACGCGTTTTCCCATTTATGGTATAGCAATTTTCCTGTAACAAATTGAACAGCACTAAATAAATAAATTATAAGTAGCAGTAGAGCTTTTTATGGAAGAGTTCATCCAGGAAAATACTGCCACCTTACCAATTTCTGCAGCCAAGCAGTAATGTGAGCATTATTGCGTTCCGGTTTGGAAGAGTAACGGGCGCTGGTTAATTAACAGGCACTTGGGACTTGTTAACTTATGTCTCTGGATGACGGGCGCAGTGGCAGTGCCCCTAGGATCTTTGCGATTTAAAGCTCTGATTGGCACTGCAACTGTTACGAACAGGCGTGTGGTTACCACCACTTGTTCGTCCCGTCACTTGGTTTTATAAAAAAGAAATAAATAAATAAATATTAGAAAACATACATACGTTGCTCTGATCCCAAAGTAAATATCTAAAGCACTTGTGTTAACAACAACGGTACCACAAACACAGACTGGAGAGACCTTAGAAAAGTTAGTTTGCTACATTGACCTGGCTGGGAATCGAACCCGTGACCTCAGAGATATCGAAGTCATGAAAACTGGTGTGCAAGCCACTCGACCACGGAGGTTGTCACATTAATGGCAACATTTGTTCATGAATACTAAATTCCAATTTCAGTACATTAGTGATACTTAGGGTCGTATTCCAGAACTTTACTCAATGCTCAAGTCAGGATTTGAGTATTGTTTAAAGCACTCGAAATCATACTCAAGTTCCTGCTATTACGGTCTTATTTTCAGTGCTTGAAATCATACTCAGATCCTGACTTGAGCATTGAGTATAGTTCTGGAATACGACTCTTAGTAATGTTGAAATGTTGATCTATTTACCCTTTGACTTATGTGGTAATGTTGGGACACATACTTATTATTTATAACTGCCTCTATGGCCGAACGAGAGATCACAAAACTTTTAAGGTAGAAGAAATTCATAGTATGGAATAATTACGTTCTATAGAATATATTTAAGACTTACTAGGGTTGAATCTATCGTCACAGGTGTAGAAGTCACCATAGCGACATGTTGTCCCCAAGCCCCATCTATCATTGACTACTATCTCATCCTTAACAGGGCTCTCATTGTAGAGCCAAGCTATTATATCTGTGGCTTTCCAATACTCATGAGGGCACTCATTTGATCCATCGGTCCATAGCACTGAAGGACGGTAGTTATTGATTAACTGCCTGATTTGTGGAACGACTACATTATCAGTGTATGTAGAACAGTTGTTAAAATGGTACTGCCAATTGCATGCTTTATCGTCTAAGTATATACGGTTAAACCACTCGTACAAGGAATAATAAATACCAAACTTCATGTTGTATTTTCTAACGGACTTTGACAGCATATCCACTATGTCTTTCTTCGGTCCTACGTTTACTGAATTCCAACCTGCTACCATCGACGGAAACAAAGCGAAGCCGTCGTGATGCTTGGTGGTTAGAACAACGTATCTAAAATATACATGGGATTATAAAACATAATATTAAAGCTCCTACATAGATAATGTCAAAAAAATAAGAATCATTTTCAAAATTGAATTTAGGCAAATCAAATGAAATTGCTGCCTTTTGCGCTGATCTGTGTACTTTGCCCAAACGATAACTTTATGTGGAAGCACCAAATTGTATACATACGGATTGGTTATGGGAACAATTAAAATGTGAAGTTACTACCTATGCTGGAAGAATCTACTCTATATTGAAATTATAAAAAAAAAAACAAACTGTGCTCCTGCATTTACAAAAAGTTTTGCCCATTTATCAGGTTTAAACGATTTTGCTGTAAACATCGGCGCAAACTGCCTGTACGTGTGTATATCGGTGAAATGATTTTTCATATAGTTATTCGTATCTTCGTCACCTTAAAGAAATAAAACAAGTAGAATTCCTTAAAATTATTAGGTCACTATTCAACTCAAATAACCCGGATTAAAATTTTTGTTATTATACAAAGAGTTGTTTAAGTTACGAAAAGATTACGCGCAGGCGATGAGGAAGTCACCAAAGTTATCAACGCAAACTCGTTTTGATTTGCTCGTGTTTAACCATACTTGTCGCATTAAGCCGATTTACCGTTAACGGGACCGTTCACGTGCCGTCGCGCTATTTGTTACCCGACTTCAGAAAAAGAAGGTTCTCTATTCGACTGTATGTTTTTTTTGCATGTATGTTACACGATAACTTACGGCATTTTTGAACCGATTTTGATGATTCTTTTTTCAGAAAGAGGGTAGAGGGTAGAATTAGTCCCATTTAAATTTGAAGAAAATATTCCACCTCTAAGGGTGGCAAAGTAGGTGATGAATGACTTGAGGTCGGTTTTTTATTTCTAGCTAGGAGTAGCCGACGTCGGCACGCGTGTGGACGCAATCGGAAATTTGCAGGAAGTAAATTCGTTGCGGACCTGTGGTGAGTTCATACGAACCGATGTGAAACGCACAACGTCTTTTACGCTGTTACATTCATGGATATAAGGCGTTTTTTGACCGGTTTAATGCGATTCTGCTTTAATAAGTGCGGTAACTCCCTTACTGGCAGCCAGTAAACTTTTGCATACATGTTATTAAGCATCTACGGCGCGTAAAGGCTCGATTCGTGAGCTCGTTCGTGTAAAAAGTACGCCGTGTGCAGAGGTCGGCGTTTCAGACGACAAACCAATGCTACCTATTGCAATTTTCTCTGCCTGAATTTTAGTTGAAAATTAAATTTGAGGTAAGTTTTGAAAAATATCAGGACTATTATTATTTCGACGAATGTATCACAAAATTCCTACAAAGAAAAGGTCGGGAGGATCGCTAGATCAACAGGTAATTTTCTAAACGTGTAATAGGACTAAAAGGACAATAGACCAATGAAGAGAGGATGTTATTACTTTTGTCGGTTATAAATATGTTTCCTTCAACTAGTACTACTTGAGTCTTATGGTTCCCTTGGGTCCAATAAAAATTGGGTCTAACACACCTTGGGCATAAGAAAACTTGGGTTAGATAAAACTTTGGTCTAATAAGTGTTTGGTCTAAATATCTAATATCTACTAATCCATTATGTTTCAGATCGTTTTATTTACCAGTCTTCCAGTTGTACCAAAACCATTCAGATTTAAAACCTGGTACAGAATATATACCCCAATGAACGAAAATGCCAATTTTTGCGGTGTCATACCACTGGGGTAAAGGCCGTTTTTCCAAATCCTTCCACTCTGGTTTATAATGCGAACCTAAGGCGTACATTCGAAGTATACTATATAAAATTATCAGCCACATGATGAGTGAGGTAGAATAATCAAGGCTTAATTTATCAAGATTAAATATCATCACCTTACGACAATATACAAGAGGTGTGTACGTGTAATCTTTTGCAGATAAAAATGCTAAGAAATCTAGATATTATTATTGTTTGCAGTTAATGTGTCAGTTTGAAGCATAAAAACAAATTACAATGTGACATTGTGAAAATCAAACTACTGGTAAGTTAACACGCAACAAAAAATAATTTTCTTAAAAATAAATTAATAAAAGTAAGGACGTTACTTAACACTAACAACTCAACGAACCAAATGATATTTAGAAAATAATGCTTCTGCTGATATTATTTAAATATATATTTACATTCCTGACCATAAATTAAAGTACAATCAACAATCGGTAATTGAAATATTTATAAGTTATTGGTAAAATAACCATTGTTTTAATGCACACACTAACTTGCATGACAGGCTTACTTTTATCACAGATTCACCTCACGGAAATTGAAAAGGTAAATAAACATAACATATTCATGATTCATTTATGTCATTTATTTGTATAGTACTGTAGACTAGGCCGTACTCTATGAGTAGAATTGCTGGCTGAATGAGTTAGTTTGTATTTAGAATTCTTTGAAAAAGAATGTTAAGAAAATAGAAGATCTTGACATATCATATTAAGATCATTGTTTCGTAACCCTACGCCAAAATTATGTAAAATAGTGAAATAAAGTATAAAATTGAAGATTATTATAGTTTGAGTTTATAGAAATACCTCTCGCAATGCATCTGAGCTACAGCCCTCGATTATAAATGGTGGAGGCACGGATCCCAATATGATGGTGATGAAGAAAGTACGAATCCAGATGTGAAAATTTTTTATATTTTTATGAAGATACACCATCAAACAGATAAAACTTATTTGTTCTTGTTTATTTTTTTAAATTTGATAGATATATTATCCTGTATGTGCGAATAGTTCCTGCTCATCCCTCCAGTTGATCAAGGACTGTCTGCATTCTGGGAAAATATATTTATTTAATTATTAGAAATTCTTCATGTGGTATACCCTCATACCATATGTATGTCTGAGGACATGTAGTTAGAATATGTTGTTGACGTTATACGTGGGTTGGTTCTTGTTGTTTAAGGATGATAAGTGAAGCTGATGGAACGTGATAGCTGCAAAATGAGGACTAAGGCAG